AAAAAACCTATCATCACATTTCTAGTGTTATTTTTGTAAACTTAAATCCTAAAAAAGAGAAATAATCGTTCAAGGGAGGTACTTTTAGGAATTATATTATTTATATGCATCAATTCAATATAACCTTAGCTAGCATGTGTAAGTAGTCGTTTCAGTAATCTTCATCAAGTAGAAATGTTCATTACTTACATCAATGTTTTGTTCTGATTCGCAAAATGTTGTGTACTTTATGACCCTGCATTCTATTTCTAAGTGACCCGTAATACATTCACTTCTTGCTAAAAAAAATCACTTAGAAAACTTAGCTAACTTAGCTACTACATCAATTTAAAAGTTGTACAAATATTTAGTAAGAATGATATAACCGCTACATACTGAGGTAGTTCAGAACCTATTTTTAAAATACCGAGTACTACAAACTTTAAATCGTAATTTCCCTAAAAAGCCACGTTAATAACACTGAAGATAAAAAACTTTTTTTATAAAAGAATATCGAGGTAAAACCTAATGAGAAAATATGTTGAAAGCTCAAAAGTCATTTACGAGTGTGTTCATGTATAGGTATTCGAGCGCCGCAACCAAATCACCACTGAAGCGATTACATTAAACGAGGTGTGTTTCGATTCATTCTAATAATGTGTCATATTAGAAAGCATTGTACAACAAATAAATCCTTTACATCAGTGGCCTTTATCAGTCCACTGCTGGACATGACCTCTCCTTAGTACCATGCCACGCTGGCCAAACGGGTTGGTTTAGGTTTAGGGGTTTGTTTTAAGTTTTCCTTCTCTTTGCAGTGCTGTTGTTCTGTGTAGTTTGCTGCCTTATTTGGCTCTTACGATAGCCACGGGATGAATCACCCCTTTTTTTTCCGTGCGGAAATCCCCTCGGATACCACCTATCGGTGGCATGTCGGACTCGAACCGACTAAAACCGCACGCCGTCTCGGGTACTTATAGCCGGGGAACCAGGTATACCCTGGAAAGGAAGTCCCTGGTACCCCGACATACCTCGGGTCATCTACAGACGAGTAGACGACCCCCCCCGTGTGGGAACCCCATGTTCCCGGTGCTCCCTGGAAGCGAGCGCGCTTCGCAACGCGCTTGCCGCCACCCCGGCCTGCTTCTGCTAGGGTGACAGATGGCCTCACCTGTCACCCCCAGGCCTGCGCTTATGGAGGACGGAGGTCGTTCTGCGACCTCCGGCGCCTGAGTCGCCTGCGGTACCTGGCCCGTTCCGGGGCCTGGCGGGCCGGGAGAGTTCTAAACCTCTCCCGGTCCCGCTCCGCCGTCTCCTTCGCGAGCATAACTTGCTCGCAGAAGGAGACGGCATAGTTCCACGCACTCTCGCTCCGCACGATAGCCGCAATCAGGCTAGCGAGCGAGATAACTCCCACTCCGATGGCCGCCACGAGGTCTCGCCTCTGCTCAACCCACGCCGGGCACTCTGCCAGCGTGTGGAGAGCCGTGTCCACGGTCTGGCCATCGCAGTGGTGGCACTCAGGCGTTGGCTCCTTGCGGATCAGACACAGGTGATCTCCGAAACATCCCTTCCCAGTGATCACCTGCGTCAATCGGTATGAGAGGGTCCCGTGACGCCTCTCGAACCAATCCTCCATAACGGGTCTTACCGCCGCGATGACTCGATCGACCCAACTCCCGCGCCTCCTTGCGCCACTGATACAGAGCCGCAAGGGCTCTCGCCTCCAGAGCCATGGACCGCACAACCCCCGAGTAGAGTCGGGATGAATCACCCCTATTCATCCCATGGCTGTCGTGAGAGCGTGACATTCTGTATTTTTAATCCGTCACCACAAGGACATGAATGAAACCTTATCATAGCCAACTATAAACTTTTTAATACCTTAATTTTAACCTTCTTCTGACGAATTGATTGACTTTACAAACAAAACTACTTATCATCATGTCTTTAGATGAACTTGTTATGTCCTTGTAATTAGTAAAGCTTTATTCACGATCTTATGTACGTTTCTAATGCTCTCAATATCACTTCATACTAATAGGTGAGTATTCACATGTATATCACATATGCATTATGTTACATGTTTGAATATGGATATTGCATATTGACCAGTTATATGATATCCATATCAGCTCTATGATTTGAATGTCACGAACGTTCAAGTCGAGAATATGATCATATAAAGCACGGCTCAAAGAGCATATTTACCGAGAACCCAGTTCAACACCTCATGCCTGGCATAATTATGAAAAAAATTAAGAAAATATTAATATTCAGGCTAAAATATGAATTACTGATAGCTAAAAACACGCTTGGTAGGGAAAGTTTAAACTGCTGATGTAGTTTCTCATGATTTTAATTTTATTACATTATTTTTTTAGAGTTAAATAATATGAATATAACGGTACTATTTAAGGGAATTACCATCATTAACAGCAACATCGTCTTCCACCGTGTTTAGGAAACTTATTTGGTGTCGTCGTCGTTCTTCCTTGCTTTTGCTGGTCATTTTTTATTTAAAAATTCTCTTCACCATATTCTACACTTATGTTTTATTTGTTTTTCATACTGTTCTGTGTTCTGTTTCTGTCTGACAAACATACTATGTAACAAATTCGCGTTATTGTAAATGCGAATTTTGTGTGTGTTTGTGAAATAGGTATTTGTTAAGTACAAGTAAAGAAGAGCTTAGTTTATGAATTTATAGTGCACATATTTTCTTATTATCTAAATCGTGTACATATATGTATGCAATTAGCTCGACGCCAACCGTAGTCTGAATTTCGTTAGCGAAGCTCTCGACTTCGAGTAAATAAAATTAAACGAGCACTTCATAGTTCCTATCTTATGAAAGATGCTATACCTTCTGCTATACTAGCATCTTTCACACAGCACACAGTACTGTACACTGTGTATGAAAAGATTAAAACAAACGAAACTGAACTTCGCTCGATATATCGATGCCTAGGATTCCGATGCTGGCTAAGGCAGTTAGGGAGGTGCTCTCAAACTGAGGTGATACGACAAATGGTATCTTTTTTGCGGTGAATGCACAGACCTGTCTTTTTTGGGTTTTAAGTATTAAAAATATAAACATTTACATAAGTACGTATGTTAGTAGTACACATACTCTAATTTGCGTTAGTAAATGGTACAATATTGTAAATACAGCTCTGATTATGTTGTATAGATAATCCGAGGTATAACCGATATACCTTAAATTTGTATTTTTACCTAAACATAAAACAGTTACTTTCTTACATCTTTGCACTTACATCTTCTCTTCTAATACACAGAGCCTCTTTTATGCCTTCAACTTAAACTTATTTTAATCAACATTATTTCTATATTTCTTTGTCCCTATCATGAATCCAGATCCTAGTCTGCCTTGTTTTAAGTTATTAAACTACTCTGTGCAGACACCATTAATACGAATATAGACTCGGGAGACTTTTCAAAGGCTTCAGAGCCTATATAAGAAAATTGTTAACTTCTTATATGGAAAGTACCTTACTGAACTTATTTGTGTTTGCGTTTTCATAAACTTTTACCAAACAACACAAACAAAACTACCACTTATTTAGCAACTGCTACAAGACCACGTTCCCGCCACACATCTATTTACTTTTTACGCAAATACTTGATCCGTACATCCCTATCTCTATCAAAATCATGAAAATCGGACTACGCAATCGATTAATAGTAGTCTTGGCAGACATTTTTCTGTCTACACTTAAAAGGCTTATTCAAGGACATTTTCATTGAAATATCATAAATAAGTAAATATTTCAGACATTTCGGACATCTGACATACAACGCCATCTAGATTCAAACTAAACAAGATTGTATTATGAAAGCTTGACTGACTAATAGAATACTTCTATACTTTTTTTTGTAAATACTTACATATTATACATAGAAAACACCCAAACTCCGAAACAAATATTTGTAGATCATACAAACATTTGGTCTGACCCGGGAATCGAACCCGAGACCTCAGCACAGCAGTCGCATACGCTAACACTGCACCACCGAGGCAGTCATATTATTATTTTTTGTCTTGCTAAATGTTGAAGTAATAAGAAGCTTTATAGTTGTATAACCCTTTATTTTGGCATTCTGAAATTTGGCTCAAAAGTCTCATAAAATCACTAATATTTTTTATATACTCAACTGTGTTTGAAATAAAATCACCGTATAATGCACGGTTAACTTAACCACAAGTTCCGGTAAAGTCAATAAATCATTAAAATATACATAATAATTAAAATTTTTTGTTTTGTTGTATATGGAAGCTATTTGATAATTGTAATATTTTTCATTTATCGAGTATATAATTGCTTAACTATTCGTGTAACATAAATAAAATTTTGAGGGGAATACTTTAAGGATTTTATAATAATTTTGATAAAACTGCCTAAATGCCAAAATAAATAGCCTTTAATAGTCCACTGTTGGTTTTAGGCCTCTCATTAGAAAGGTCAAGGGAAAGGTTTTGGCCGGGAGACGGATTGGGACAGGGTTTGTGTTATCTTTCTCTTTGCAGTGCTGTTGTCCTGGGTAGTTTGCTCCCTTGGTCGGCTCTTACCACACCCACGGGTTGAATAACCCACGGTAATATTTCGAATTCTTAATCGATCAGCACACAGACAGCTTATGACTTATTATTTCTTATTACAAGATTGACACTCTTTTCTGGCTTAAATGACTGGACTTGATAAATGAAGTAAGTACTCATTTGAAACAGAAATTTTTGGCAGATTACAACATAAAAACTAAAAAAATACATTTCGATCATAGACCACCTAAGATACTATATTTGGTACACTAAGATTTGAGAAAGAGAAGAACATCATTGGAATCCCGTGCTCACAGTTTTTTGTTTGCACTTGGCACTAAACGTAGCACCGTAGTATTTAAATTTATAACTAATTAAATAGTCCCAAATAGCAATTATATTTTTATTTAATTAAAATACCACTAAATCTATGGAAACTAATAAATAAAGTGAGACTTACCTATAGTTGTGAGCGCCAAAGTGCACCAGTAATAACTTTGTAAATAGTGCTTCACCACATCCGCCGTTTCAGTATCATGATACACCCAGTTTTTACTACCGAATCCATTGTTTTTATATATTATATGGTACAAGCACCCATTCCAATGGAATATCACTAATAAATAATGAATTAAACTGGTCGATCGAAATAAGTTCGGATAGTTCGTATGTCTCTCTGTACGGTCCATGAACGCCCAGAACCGGTATATCTTCACGAGGCGGAACGAACGTAGGATGGAGTTGAAACCAATGGACAGGTAAAGGAAGTCCAGTGGCAGCAGACAGAGGCAGTCGATATAGAATGTTGTTGAGTTCATGTAGTGCGCACGAAGTTTGGCCGCATCCGTCTGCAGCACGCCATCTTCTAAGTACCCCGTCCGGAAGTGAAACAGTATGTCCGCCAAGTAAAGAAAATCCGAGAAGTAGTCTAAGCAGAACCATACTATTAGCGTCTCGCCTGAAACAAAATGGCACTTTTAGTGATATGTAAACAATGCAGCCTCGTGTGGGATTATCTAAATCGAATAACTTAGATATGTCTAATTCATCATCAGAGAGAATGTATAACTGTTTTTAACTTTGCCTTTCTACGTGGAGTACTTTTGGTTGGCCAGCGGTATGCAGCAGCACAAATGTCTTAAGAGTTAATATTTCGAAGATTTAATATTTCGTCGCCAGAACTGGTAGGTCGCACTTCATAAAAAAAAGTCTCTTTAGTAATGGCGTTGCAGAAAGCCATTATTCATCCATTTCTTTCTGCAATATCAAACATATTTAAAAAATGAAATCAATCAGCTAATTGAATTTTTGAAGTATTCTTTTATCTTCATGTAACGCTTGTTGCATGTTTTCGCCCCTATAAAAACTAAAAGGTTGATTTAAGTCAAACTATTGCCTTTTTGAAAGTTATAAGTTAAGTTATATGTAACTTTTTTTTTTCTTTTCTTTTTTAAAAAGACAACTCCCGCATTAAAAAAATATACAGTGTCGCGGGGGACTTTACACACATACATGAAACGGACACAAAGAACACCCTGACCCAGAACAACAATTTGTGGATCACACACAGTGTCGTCCCATGTGGGGATCGGACACACAACACTCAGCGTAGTAGTAAACGGCGTCCAAATATGCAATAAATTAATAAACAATAAATTTTGACATTTTGAAGTTACTTGAAAAATTCTATTTATATGGGAAATAATGTAATTTGTATGTATTCAAATTTTTTTGTAATGACTAAATATGTTCCAATTCCGTTGGAAATACCACTAAATCGTTTATTAAATTGCTTTATTGTTCCAATGAAATTCCTATTAAATCAACATTAGATAATTTCCTTATTTTCCTAAAAGTTCAAAGATTGCTATTAAATATAGTCATATGAAGTCCAGTACGAAAGGAAACTTGTAATTCTACTCGTATTGATGTATAAACTGTGTTTTGATTGAAACTTTTGCTTTTAACTGAAGAATTGGTACTGTAGATCAACAATACAAAGTGGGCACTGAAATACACCAAGAAAATGCCATGTTGAGGCATTAAAGCTGCAATATGGTAATAAAACGATTGGAACTCTCCTAATGCAACGTTGAAAATATTTCAACGTTGCATTACATTAATATTAATTTTACCTTTAGAAATATTACATTGTCTGAGGTAAAAGACATTAAGCTGAGAAAAGCTATTTCGGTAAGTAATTTAATTCTGAGAGGGATAAGTTAAGTGCAGCCTCAGACCGTTGCTTATCTCGATCGCTATCTAAATAGAGATGTCCTTTGCATAATCTCCACAAATAAAATTGAATATTTACTACAAATTACAAATAAATTAAAATTACTATTTAAAATATTTTTGTAGTGTTTCATTATTTTTAACAAAGAAATGTTGCCTTAAGACTACAAACCAAACTAAATTGGCATAAAGATATCCCTATATCCATATATCAATATTCATTTTTTCTATAAACTTTTCAAGTTTACAATCAATTTAGGGATCTATCCATTTTAGTAACTTTCAAGTTTCTAATTTTTACTACCCTATAATTATTACGAGTATATACATATGTATATGAAATTAAATAAAACTACTAAATAAAACTATTTAAATGCTATGCACTTTTAAAACTACTCACCATTTATCTCCTGGAAGGCGAACCTGTAAACGATAACCCAGAGATTGTATAGGAACGCTAGGGAGACGACCATTGACCAGTAGTAACACAGGCGGCCAGCAGGGTCGAACACGAAAGACCAATGCGGCCCCGATCGTAACCGACCACTGGCATACGTTGACCGTCGTCGGAGACCCCCTCTGCTACCACTGTCAACAAAAACGTTTTCAGTTAAGAAAAAAAAACATATTTGGAACCCTAAGGAGGATCTTTAAAAACGTGCACTTCCAGCCTTTGTTGTTACGACAGCATTAACTTCACTCTTTTGATACTAATAAATAATAATATTGAGAATAGGTACTACTTTTCTATTTTTGTTAGAATAGCGTAAGAGGCAGACATATATGTAGCCTTGAAAACTCACAACCGTTGTGGGGAAAAGCTCTCAAGTAGTGATGATTGGAAAGAAAAGCACAAAACATTATCACACTAAACGGACGGCAGCATTCTGATGAGGAAAATCTTTATGCGGGAATACATTCAAGGGTACTATTAGTGATTCAAGTGCGATACCAATAAATGTAACGTGCATTGGCAGCGCTAGAGTTGCATATCAAAGCGCTTGAGTAGCAGGCTTCAGCTTTTCCAGGTTTCAACCTCGGTAATACTCGATATATTTTGCTAAGGTTCACATGGAACAACAGGATAATCTTTGATTTAATTTTATTTGTATAAATTGACATTCTTACTATTATCTTTATTTTTATTGATTCCTTAAATAAAAATCACTGAGCCTTTCGTCTTTAGGGTACAACTTTAAAGTTTTAAGGTGTTAGTTAATTTAGCTTACAAGCTCTAAACAATGACCAAACCTTCCACTCCACCTCCTTTATCCACTTCTGGATATTGGCCTCTTCTTGGAAAGGAGGTATTGGCCTACTATACCACGCTGGCCAGACGGGTTGGTATAGGGCTTTTGTCAAGCTTTCGATCTCAGCTAATATACAAAACATATATTTTATTGGTCTGCTTAGTGTATTAGTACGTTAAATGTACAAAACATTCAACAAAGTTGATGAAAAACAACTACAAATAGACTACCCTACTATAAACGTATGCCAATATTACAGATTCAATATACAAGCTATCAACATGCGAGTCGTTTACACAAAACAACCCACTTCCATATGCTAAGCAGTCAGGTTACATTGTATATACCTGTACAAATGTACACATCTACAGGACTGTACGCCTGTACGGTTAACAAGACAGGTCGCGTAATAGGTGTATGTCTAGTTAAACAGTCCGGAATGGATGTAGTTTTTGTCGCCATACTGTGTGTTTACTAAATATTCATTAATTTATTTATTCGTTTGAATGCTAATAATATTCCGTGATACACAAATACATTTTGCAGTGTATAATATAAAATCACGAGCTAGTTTTTAAAATAGTTAGCCCCTCATCGTAATCGAAACCCCTATATTTAATAATATTCTACGAGTACTTAAGTAATTCGGTAAGCTTGCTTTATGATAAATATTCAATATTTGAAACTTATGGTGGAATCATTACAAAATTGGATAACTAATAAAAAGGGCAAAAATGTATCCTTCATCATCAACAACAGCATATTTAATTTTATAGGGTACCGTAGAGTAGGCTTGCAACCATGTAATGGTTGCAAGCCTACCCTGTTTCGCCATCTGTTTCGCCATGTACGTCTGTCCATCCATCCGTCCGTGGCTTCGCAAAAAGATTTTGCATGGGCATAAATATATTGATCACATAACAAACTGATTAAAAAAAATCGGTAAAAAAAATTGAGGGTACCTCATAAAGAGGGAATGATAACTTTTATGTTTCGGTTATTCCATACCGCGTGGTCCGACACACACTTGGACAATTTTACTATATCGTACTGATATCGGTAATTCCTGTTCATGCTGACCTAGAGCAGGTAGCCTTTTAAAAAAACATAATTTTTAAAGATTTTTCTTGCTAACCGTATCAGATATATAATCAGCATCTCAGTTTACATTACCCGATTGCTTAGACTTAACTCCGATTGCTTACTTACACGGGAGCATGCCACTCGACGAAAGAATAATTGAATATAGCCTCTCCTACCTGAGCAGTACATACTCTTATATTCGATTTACCCCTAGGATGATAGGATCAACCAGTTTTATTGTCTCGAGATCCTCAGACTAAAAATTTCGATCAATTTACCTGGTGTATTGCAATGGCGGTAAAAGCTTTATAACATTAAATACATTTATTAGAGTCGATATATTCCAGATGGTTTATATCTTCTTTAATTTTTACCACATCTGTTCTATTACAGTACATATAATTTGAAGGTACGATTTCAGGGCACGATTACATATTGATTTTTAAAATAAGACCTGCATTACTTATTCTACATAGCATTAAATGGTAGGTAAATATTAATACATTTTTAAATATTAACAAGTCAATATAAAATCTAAGATATCTCGACTCTAGCCTAAAGTAGCTTGCTTATAAAGTTATAATCAACCCACAATAAGCTTGCGTTGTACAACATATTTATGTATTCTACGTTAAATTAATGATATTTAGGAAAAGGAAAACTTGTGCTTTTAAGGTTGTAATATAAAGTTCTAAGAGCCAATGAACTCGTCCTTAAATTCTAATTAGAAACTTTACTGACGCAGAGAAACTTTATTTTGATTTTTAACTATTAACCATTAACATTTAGATACATTCAGGTACTTAAATGTAAAATAATGATTTTACATATGTTGGAAGTGTAAGGATTCAAATTTAACACTGTTTCAATGTTTGATTTGAAAGTTTTTCACTCCCAATTTACTGTTTATGTTAAGATTGAAAAATGATTCATAAAAACTACGAGTATAAAGTTGTAGCAGTTTTAAGTTATAACTACTTGTGATGAAATAAAACGTTTATCACCATTTTGCATTCTGAAATAGTTGAGTGAATAATTTTACTTGTCTTACTGCTAGCTTATAGGACCCCTGGCATTCCGTATAGCATTTCTTTCTTCATGACGAAGAATGAAATTAAATTCCTATTTATTCTGATTTTGATTTATTTTGATTCTCTAAATTCTCTTTATTCTCTGAAGATAAAAGTATTTATCGTAACTTCCATCTTGACATGCAAGGATAAGAAGATTAGGAATGTCCAAGTTATTTCCATGGTCTTTTGGTGACTCTATTCATAGTTTTATACAAATACTAGGGCGGTTCTATATAAGTTATTCATTATTTTGTGGTAGTGCTATAGAAATTAGATTTTAAGCAGATTAGTAAATTTAAGAATCGTTTGAATTTTACTTCCATGCATTAAGTATTATCAGTTGGTAATTCAGGCGTCCCATTTGCCGGGTCGTGAAGGATGTTGACGCAATAATAAATTTAGTATAGTGGTGACCCAAAACTTGAGAACTTTGCTAAACGTTCAGCTGTTACGGCAGTTTGCGAAAGTGCAAAAGCCACCGCAATTTATTGAACACTCACTTGTTTATTAATACTACTCGTAAGTTCTTCATAACGCAGGAAGTACTAATTCTACGTAAGTATGTCGGCATACTTACATACATACCCTACGCTTTTGAACTAGAGAGTAATTTAGTGCACAGATTCGGATCAAGCTGTCTAATTTATAGTTTCATGTGATTGTTTAATCTTATGTTCGTGTGTGTTACTTTTTTTGTCTAAAATTGTAATTTAGTTGGTTAGTAAATTTATATTTCAATAAGTATATATGTTTAGCAATGAACGTCTGATAGCTGAAATAATTTTAAAAGAATAAGGTTACAATGTTTAATGAACCAGGCTAGATATTTGCCGCTTTAATAAAATATTTATACTATCGTAAACACGTGGTTCCTAAGATATAGATAGATATTATTGTAAATTGAATTTAATGCAGATAATTTATTTATAAAAATTGATACATCTGTAAATAAATATGATCATATATCTGGAATTTCTTAAAAAATCTCAACACATTTCACATCTAAAATAATAGATAAAAGAGCTATTTTTATTTGTAAATCCTAGCGAAATATAATCCTGTCTGTGACCAGTCATCTTTATTATATTGAAGCTGAGTATTGATATGAGTCAATAGAACAAAAGCAACAATAACTGCTAACTAAGAGGAAAATAAGATAAGTAAAACAATGTAACAAATAACGTACAATATATTAAATCGCCTTCGTCACTAGTGAGTTCACTCATGTTGGAACAAAATTTACTATGATTATTTAAACTTAGATACTTAGGACTTTAAGATTTGTGGTTTACTTTCAAGATTACAATGAGTTCAATGCTTAAATATAAGTTGATAACTTTACTAGTAAAATGATTATGTAGTAAATAGTAAGTCCGATACGATCCGTTTAAATTAAAGAAAGCCTACACTACCATTGCTTCATACTGTCGATTTAGAAGGACACAAAAATAAACTGAAAATAAAGAGTAGAACTTACACATACAGGTTATAATTAAATAAATTACAGTTGAACGTTGTTTAATAGATACATATATAAATAAACAATGTTGGTTTTTGGAACGAAGTTCCTTATCGCGCGTTGTGAAAGGGGGCTAGACGGAAAAAAATCTTACGAAAATTGGTCACGACACTTTTTGCTATAGTAAGCTAATGTAAGCTGTGCGGCGTCGCATGTTTCTCTGTCTGTCTCTCTCTCTCTTATAGAAAGCAAGCCAGATATTTTCATTTCTATCTTTTTATGTCAGTCATTCAGCGCCATCTATCGAATAGATAGGAAATCATTTCTCAAGGAGATTTTACCAATGTATAAATTGTTTTAATTAGAAACCAACTGAAAAATATGTAGGTAATAGCCGCTGTCATAGATGGCGTTGTAATTAAAATGTGCCGAATCAGTTTTATTCGATCGTTACAACTTCGTTCCTATCGGGTGTCCCACGACATCACACGGCTTTTTTATTTTCATCTTTGTTTAATACTACGACAGGGGTCTGACTCAAGTGACTGGCACCGAGCGCTCGGTAAGAAATCAAAATTGTATATACTACAGTTCGTACCTACTGATCGTCGAAAATTTTGGTCCGAGAAAAGTCTTCATGTTTCGATAAAAATCGATTTTAAACTGCTTCTATTTGTTATATCGATTTAAGTTTGTCTAATATAGGTTGTAATAGAAGTCTATGGTTAGATACTAAATGTAAGTAAAAGATAGAGACTATATGAGAGAGACAGAATAATTACCTGTCAGTGCCATTGCAGTGCGACGGTGCGAGGTGATTATGTGAGTGGTGGGGCGCCGGCGTCGCCGACGCATGTGGCGTGTGCGGCGTGCTCCGCCAACCGCTTAGCAGAGGTGCCTCCCCGCTGGCACCCAGCAATTTTAATCTATACAAAAAAAAATTACAACTGAAAAACTTGTCAATTTTCATTGTTATTTCTGTAGTGCTTGAATAGAGTTGGTGCTATTCATTTCTAAGATATTTTAATTATTTTGAAATTTTAGATTTTTTAATTTCTTGACTTTTTGATTATTAATTATTTTGACATATTTAGTTATTAACTGTTTTAACATTTTCCACAGCTAATGTTTATTTACCAATGTATTATTTAAATAAAAAATCAAATCAAAGTCCATAAAAACGCGTCCAATAAAAGTGGCGCTGCGGGTAGTGTTTTTTTTTTAATTATGACGGGGTGGAAAATCCCTTCGGATTGCCGGCTCCTAGGGGACGCAGGAGCCAGTAGTATGTGGTGTCTCCACTAAAAACCACCCTGACGGGCCGGTCTCAGGCGCCCTACTCTGGGGAGGACCCGGACCATGCTATTTCAGGCCCCGGAGCATATTGCATAAATCACATTCAGAAACTGCTAATCTACAAAGTATGCAACTTTTAGTCTTCCTAGCAAAAGAAGAAATCGTTTGAAATCCAATCGACTTAGTGGCACACGACCAACTACCGGTAGAAATTGGTTTTCCAATACGACCTCTGTGAGAGGGTTTAGCCGCCAGAACTGTCGTACCGTAAAATGAGATATAAACCGTTCAAAAATGCGATCGGTCGTGTCATGTCGTGCCGACAGCCGCTCGCTCATATTACTGGCAATGTAGGGTTACCATTTCGTTTAAAATAAATTTCGACTTTAATATATTTAGACTACAATATAAATAAAGTGCTTTGAAATACCATGTCAACCAACTAACATGTAACCTAACTTAAGCAGGTAAATTTGAAAGACAAAAATATTTTGACACAAATTTGTTCACCTTTTATTTGCTTATCATTATCATTTGTATGTTCAATATACGAAGCCTCTTAATTTCAGCAACCTTATTTGCGGCAAACTGTATTACAAGTTATTATAACAAAGCATCCAGTTTAATCTAGTTAATTATAATCCCACCAAAAACATTTTCATATACAATGTTGCCAAGACTAGACCATAGACTAGAACGTATGGCTCGCACTGTCAAACAGTTAATCAGACCTCATGTAGAGCCAAGGTTCTAATTCTGCAAGCCCGACACTTAAGTCAAAATATGTGGCTTGGCCATTTCGCCACTACAGGGGCGTAAGGTGAAAAGATTATTTCGTTAACGTGTGTCTGCGGGCACTACCTACGGGAGTTTGAAACATTTTTAATCACGAAGAATGTGTACACAGATATATAGATTCATTAAGATGTGTTAAAATCCTTTTCATTTCCTGGTCTTGATTTCAAAAAGACCATCTCGGGGAACAACTTCGTGGCGGGATCGTAATGTGACTGAGAATTTTTCCTAAGTTAATAAAATAACCCTTTATTTGCAGCATCTCGCGGCTACTGTAACCTAGCCACCTGATTCATATGTCGGTTCGTCTAGTTAAGTATGACATACCCAGAGTACATTGAGAGGCTTAGAGAATTTCTTCACACTTCGCTAGGCTTTAGTGTAGATTCAAGACATTTCACATATTTATACTATGCCCAGCCTTTGCAGAGCTTCGAGAGAATTGAAAAGGAATATTAAATAAGCAATGATGTGGAGTAGTTGTGGTTTATAACTTATTTTAGAGACTATGAAACTAGCTGAAAATGAGTATGATGATTCTTTATTATGTTTCTTTCATCATCATTCTTTATTTATTTTTTGTTTTCCACAACGCAAAAATCTTTAAATTATTAACTGGACATATTTTGTATCCATGTATTATTATTCTAACCTAATATATTAAACTTATTTGGTCTAAATTTCACTCATAGTCATTAAGTATATTTTGTAAAATAATTATTTTTTAATTCCTGGTATGACTTGGGCTCATCAAGAGCTACTTAATAATAAAAAACAACAGACAAAGAAAACAGAAAATAGTTCATAACTGCAGTCTTTGCGTTACATACTAGAGATCACCTACTGGTTTAAATCTGACCATAATTAAATTATAGTGTAGCTTGAATTATGTCGTTGAGTAATTAATTAACTTAACATGACTGACGATTAGATAGACTTTCAGCAACATGGCAGGTCGATATCACACACTCAGGCCCGTATAGCAGTTTACAGCCTTACAGCCGCTATTACAAAATGTTTAAGTTTATAACTCATTTAAATTGATAGTTTAGCTTTCTGCACTATTCCTACATATACATATATAAAAATATACAAAATAAAAAAAATGTAATAAGAAAATTACCCACAATGCATCAAATTGTTGTGGGATTTTAAAGTCTAAGATTTCATCGGTTGTAAGACTTTAACTTTCCTGAACTGATATTAGATTAAGAGAAAAGCATTTTGATCTCTTTATTCTTATTGCACCCTTTTTGATAAGAAATACGAATTCAGTGCCTTTGTGTTATTCCTAGCTACAATGTTTCCTCTGGTGGATTCCTAAACAATCTGAACATGTGGTAATGTTTTTAAATTATTATTATTACTATCAAGTATATTGTTATCAATGGAGGGAATTCTTTATCTGCGTATGTTTCGATATGATAACGCAAGAGTGATTCTTTTGATATCGCTTATCAGTGCACCGGACAGTGACTGCATAAATATGTATATACTTGTGTCTTCCAAAGCAAATGGTATAACTGTGGTTAATATTTCACCATTAAATGAAAACAGTTTATTTTAAAAGTACGTAAATCTTTTTCCACGTAATGATGGAGGCTCGTCGAGTCAACACTTGTGATTAAAGCGACACTCAAGAAAAGGGCCCTTGCGCTCCTGGACAAACAAGAGTTAGGCCCTTGAAGCACTTCACTGACGCCTTAATGGTGGCAAGCTACGTCTTTTTACCAAACCATAATAAAAAAAAAGTAACCTCAAACATTATTAAACTTTTGTTTAGAATCTACTTACGTATCTATATCATATTGAAGTAGCCATGTAAAAATTACAGCCTATCAACTTTTATATCCCAGTCCTATAAACATGTCCAATATCTTCTAACGTATGCCAAACCAACGTAGCGTAAACGAAAGCAAAATCGGTCCACTGCACCGCCTTCCACAAATTTATCCCAGCTATCTTTCTCAAATCGTTAGTGATAGTTGTTCAATATAACATATTAAATCATTAAATAAGTTCCGAGACTAACTTAGGGTTGACGCATTTATTAAAAATTATTTTGAGTTTTAGAAAGTGCTAACCATCCAATGGTATACGTTTGTTAAAGTTGGACGATAAAATATTGAGTTACAGATATTTAAGTCTCACTAATTTCATACGGGGCATACTGAAAGTTTCTGGATCTGTAGAATCGGAAAGAATAAAAAAAAATATGGAATTCGAAAATGGATCGCCTTGGGACCATGTTACTTTATAATTTGCGAGTGTCATTTGATTTTTCATCATAACGTCCTTTCGAAAATTGTGTGTCGCTATCAAAATTAATTTAACTCGTGAACATCTTCGTTCAATGTTTTTTTATGATTTTCGTTGTGGCTTAAGTCAACAATAGAGTTGCCAGAGACTTTTAATGGGAATTGGTGATAAAGCACCATATCGCAGCTCTGTGTATTCGTGGTTTGGAGAATTTACGCATGGACGTGATCATTTATATGACGAGGGAATATTGACACCGTACGACAACTTATTGAAACTGACAAAAAAAATACTTGCCAGATAATTCGAGCATTGTTACGCATTGAAATGAGCCAAGTGCAAAACATTTTACATGTGCATCTGAAGGTTCGGAAGCTTTACACTCGATGGATACCGCATGACTTAACGGAGTTCCAGAAACGACTACGTGTCTAGTGGTGCAGTAAAATGAAAAAAAGTTTAACGGAGGACAGTCATTGGCTGTCTATAATATCGTTACAGGTGCCGAAACCTGGGTGTACTGCTTTGAACCCGAAAGAAAAAGCCAGTCGGCAGAGTGCGTTTTTCCTTTTGAAGTTTTGCCGACGAAAGTTAAAAAAAGTCGAAGCATTGGTATAAATTTGTAGCTTTTTTTCGGCAAATCAGGACATTGCACTACAGTATCGCTTGAAGATTAAAGGACAATGACTGCAGATTGGATGTCAACACTTGTTTGCCCAGAGTCCCGGAGTCCTAGAAGAAGCGAAAAGCGTCCTCGAAGCAATGTCCTCTTTCACCACGCTAATGCATCCTCACATTCCGATAATATAACAGAAGCCTAGTTGAAAGCTTCAAATGTAGAACTGATGACGCAACCGCCTTACAGCCTGGACCTCGCACCCTGCGACTTCTTGTTTCCAAAGACAAACTTAGAGGCACACGTTTTACCATCTCTGAATCAGCGGTGAATGCATTCCATGAAGTAATTGAAGAGGTCCCTAAGGAAGACTGGTCCAACTGCTTTGCACAGTCGTTTCAGCGAATGCAAAATGCATTAATTACGAGGGAATATACTTTGAATAACAGAATCCAGAAACTTTCGTAAACAATGATAAAAGCGGGTTTCGTGTGTTAGAAATATTACTTTTCAATGGGAAAAAATACTATTCAAGCACAGTAGTGACTTATAAAATGCTACGCAGAATCTGCTTCGTGTAAATTTACCGTTTATCAGTGGTGTGCAGATTTTAAATGCGGTCTATGGACACAAATGCTGCTAAACGCTCGACCAAATGAAATTATGACTTAACACAGCATTAGCTCGACCTCCAGACCGTGAAGGAAAATTGAAAGGTTAAACTGTGCGAAATAGCTGAAATAGTGTAGATTAGAATTTTCACTACTTTACATAAAGATTTAGTAATGTTGTTTTTCCAGACTGGTGCTGCGTTTACTTTTATAATTGATCAAAAGCTACAACGCATTCAAAATTCAACTGGCTGTTAGGCTCTGTATAACAGTAATAAGAGGATTACTACGTCGGGTTTGTGACAATGGATGAAATATAGATTCACCATTTCACTCCAGAATCCAAACGGCAGCTAGCAGAGTGAAGAGCAAGGGGTAAAAGCCGCCCGAAGCGCCTAAAACACATAAATCTTTCACCATCACAATGCGCCATATCACAAGCTCATAAGTCCATGGGAACGATGACCAAACTACATGAATTATTCTTGATTGCTGCCCCCAGTGATTATTGACCATATGAGGAATGAGGAAATATGAAGTACAACCTTAATCAATAACTTAAAATATAGGATAGATAATTCACACACGAACACAAAAGCAGCAACGATACACAAAGTAAATATATGCTTTATATGTATATTTGAAGATATCAATTTTGTCTTATAGGACCCTACCCATAAAAAAGCTTAACCACTAACGATGCTCAATCCTTATCTATTATAAATTAAGTTATCGCTAGTCATAAAACGTAGGTACATGATTAATCTTGCCAATATCATTGAGACGTTAAAAAGGAATGGATAAAACATGAAGCTAAAAGTATTATGATCACAATGGATCATTTTTATCGCTTGTGGTATGACAGAAATACTTTATCATTGATATCAAGTAATATCGACCCGGCGATTTGTCAAATGTTGAACGAAAAAATGTGACGTGTCAATAGTTCTCTTACAATATTACTTTGGCTACATATTCGCACCTGCCTTTAATGACATTGTTATAAAAGATAACTTCGACAAGAGCGTTATGCTCAAGAGACAAAGACACTTGATTGATCTATTAGAAATTAATAATTTATAAAAGTTCATGTCTTGATACCAAGGTTATGAGAAAAACCTCATTTGTTAAAGTATTTAGACTTAGAAGTCATCACGACAGCTCGCAGAGTTACAAACGATAATTTACATGAAGTTTATAATTGCAGAAAACCAGGTTACTACTGTTACTACTACACATGTACTGTTGCGTTATGTTACTCTCACTTCATCCAATATGCTACACGTATAATTCTCAGTCCTGTAACCAGATGCAGAGCAAGTTGGCTGTAAAGTCACCTAATTTAATGTCATATTGGGACTTATCCTACCCACACGCCCACCACTGTAACTCCTGTACACTAGGATGCACAGCAGTGACCCACGAAAACACCGAGTTATGACACTCGGGAAGTCCCAGGAAGAAATTAAACTGTCTTGGAACCCGCAACGAAATTAATCAGAAGAAAATTGGAGGAGTTGGAAATACAGTGAATCCCCTTCCCTCCTTAGCAAAGCGGGAGACAAATTAAGTAAAATAGGCATAAAATATTACGGGTCCTAGGTGAGCTATATTTGATTTCTATAATATGTATAATGTATAATATGTATGGCAGAATAGCCTAAACGCACGGAAATTCACCCTAGTTGACACAAGATCCCCATAGCATACCTACCGCCCCTGATGTCACCTGCAAGCTATTCAGCATTATATTACGTTCATTATACCAAAGACTACATTCCCAAAGGATATGATGAGCACACTGTTCATAGTGAGAGTTAGGTGTTGAGCATTGACACAATGGTGACTCGACTAATTTAAATAAATACAGCTTCCTCTTAAAGTTACCATAACCCGTAATTGAAAAAAAATTGAGCGACACAGTGATCCACCTCAAGCCATGTCCTCGACAACCGTTCGCGAACAAATGGAAAGAACTGGTAAAGATGGCGCCCCTTGGATGTTTCGTCCCAACATTGTTGCATTTCCAGCCCAGCCCAATTCCTGGTAAAAATATAGAACTTAATTTTAAGTAAATGGATTTTTGTCTAATTTCAGCTCCCACGGCATCTTTAGCATACATTAATACAATAAAGCTAAATGTCTTCAGAATTCTCCTCTACTTTGTTTTGTAAATTTCTTATTGTGTGAAAAAAAGTAGTAGGCATACAGAAGAGAATTGCCATTAATGCCCTGTAAAAAAAGATGTGCTCTTGCTAACTTTCTAAATATCATGTATCATGATTTGTAAGAAGTAAGTAAGCACCGGTCAAGACTATTGACAATAATGAAGATAAAGCAGAACTAATACTACGAGTAGGACATTCATTAAACAACGCTTAAAGATAGAACTTATTCTCTTGATAAAAAATATATTTGAATTACTAAATGACATTTTGTTTTTAACCGCTAATATTTTACACAAATTAGACTTCTAGAACTCCTTTAAACTGTTACTATATAATGAAGTAAGTGAACCTATTTTGTCTTTGAATTCACCAGTAAACTAAGTCCGGTTTATGTAGTGGAAAATTTCGTGCCTTCTTACTTTGCAAATCGATAACTTTTTAAATAATCACTTGGGGGAAAAGGTACCTGAGACGAGCTTCAAGTTACCCTTGTCACGACTAAAAACCAAACGAATCGATTTACAAGAGGAAAGCTAGTTATAGCTTCTGAGGCTTTTTGTGAGTTATTCGGATGTTTGCTAAATACTTTTACATCTTCCTATTCATCTGTAAACCTTTAAGTATTTCTAATGCAAATTTTTTTAAAAACTAGTATGCTAAAGTTAAATGTTAATTGTTAATTAACAGTTACCAAAATTAAAAAGATTAACCTAAATGGATGACATAAGTCATCATTTTTTACGTATTACATATTGATACCTGATTTTGAAACGCTGTTATTCTGTACTTTTCCATAAAGTTCATGACACGACACATTGTGCGGTTTTACGTAGGACAAAAAAACTAACATGTATTATAGTCCAGTCTATCTCTATAGGATATGTATAACAGATACTTATCCACTGAGACCTCTCCTACCCTTTTAACTTCACATAACTTGTATTACAATTATATTGATGCCTACCATTTTTAGACTGAGACTGAGAACTTTAAGTTCGCTAAACATTTGGAGCAAATATTAATGAGATTTACTAGGTATACTAAGTAACTTAAAATAACAATGACATATCTGAAAGTTTATATCAACGAAAGGTACTGAGAATAAGAATTAAAAAAAATACCGATCGGGCACAGATCATAAGTTTCTTAAGTAGCTACTAACTTCAGGAAAGACAATCAATTGACAATTTCTGTAATAGTATCAATTTTTTTTAAATTATATTCACGCGAATGTTAGGTACAAAAATTTGATACTTCCTGATTTGATTCTTCTCTATTTTATTTATTCAAGATATTGAATTAACTATTTACATAATTTCTAACCAGGGGAGCATGACACAAGGTCTGTCAGGTTTGCAAGTAATTTATACAGACCTTGCTTTATGTGCGCGTCTGGAGCGGGAGGAGAGGTCCAGCTCACTGGCGGCGGAACACGCGGTGCCAGCCTGCAACGAGCCGCGAGAGCCGCCCAGCCGCCGCGAACCCAGCCGGCACGTCATCATTTCTAATCAAAAGAAAATTACAAATTAGTATATAAATATCCACGAGGTAGGACGCTGTGGAAGTTTTTAAAGATGACCTACGTTCTAGAGCCTCCATTGAATTGATAATAATGAGATAAAATCTCGTTTAGTCTACTTTTACAATAAGAATAATAAATTAATAATACAATAAATGAAACGTATCTTGTTGGTGTATGAGAGAGGTCTCTCGGGGATATCAAATATACATATAAATGCCTATTCATATGCACCTAAAATACAGCGCAATTTTTACTGGCAAACACCAATTGAATTTTTACTGAGTGGTTACTAGTCCTTCAGATCGTATAAGCTTAAAAAATAATTATGGAGAACAAGAAAACTATGATCAACTAAAGCAATAAACGTTCTTCTGCCCTTGGTACTCCAAGTACTTTTGCTAGCTTTATTATAAGTTAGTAAGCACTTAACAAACTTCACTTCTCCTTGAATAAACTCTTCCATATATCGAAATATGATATGCTAAATTATTCAACTGATTATAAGTTTTAAGGAAGAAGATCAATACCATTTGCTATTAAAATTGATTGAGGAAAACTACTACACTAAGTATGTAGTAGTTTTTAATCAATCCAGTGGTTCCAAGATATGTTCGTTTTATTAATGATGTAAGTATAACCTAAAGTAGATTATAGGTTTAAATTCGCGTGTCAATATATTAAACTAAGTAAACAAGCGTATTTTGTTGCACAAAATTTAATAGCAAAAATAACGTTTAAATAATTCTTATAGCTCATCTGAAATCTTGACAATTCTATTGTCTGTAATAAATTATCAAGAAAATATTAAAATAAATAACAACTTAATTTCACCCGCAATTCGTAGGACCAACCTTTAAATAATAAAGAAACAATAATAATATAGCGGGCCATCTTTGCGTATCGAATGAAATGAATAAAACGAGAGTCGAATGAAGCCATTGTTGTGTGCGCGTCTGAATTCTTTTTATACCCTGGAACCGACGATTTGTTCATTGAGGCACCTTCTCAAAGTTCCGATGCAAATTGCATTATTAGGAAAAGAATTCCTTAGTTCTTGCTTGGCAACTACCTATGGCACTAAAAATAAAATATGTCGATGCAACCGAGAAGATGTCGTATGGTATATAAAAAATCGATAGGTGGTTTACTGGAAGAATCAAAAGTATAACAATTTAATATGAAGTATATATAGAACTATATATAAACTATGACGTTCAACCACAAAATTAACCCTTATACATATAAATAGTACGCAAATTCGAATGCATGTGCGTGGATTGTTTCGTTCCGGTAGGCGGAGGTTTTGGTAAATTTTAATGGTATGTTGCGTCGCAGTGCGGAAAGCTGCGACTTGTTGGCGTGCTTATCATTTCAACGTGCTGAATGTTTCTTTTTGTTATACGGCTTATTTGCTGCATATGAACTATGCTGTTGTGCACAAAAAATAATAAAAATCTTCAAATATTTACCAAAATAAACAAATATGTAACAATTCTGTTTTATTTAAGGTGAGTATTTCAAGTAGTCATTCTTATTACTAAATAAATGTAAATACGAGTATTTGGCATATCTATCTACGTATGTAAGCGTGATTGTATATAACTATACAATGGAGTCAGGCACTGGGGCTACAATGCACTAAACAATGTTTTGTTAATAGTGATGCAATCAAATCAATAGTCAAAAGAGTGGACATGCATTTTTATTTATGACACTATTCTCATCTGGAGACCAGAGGCTACCGCCTATCGGTGATCTCAAAAACTCAGTGGCGTCGATTTTTAAAATTCATCAAGATGAGGCATACTGTTTAGCAAAGTCCCTTCATCTGTGGCGACATATGAAAATTTCTACATTTACTAGATACTGGGTTATTTTTAGATTTATTTAAAGATATTCAAAATGTTTTCAAAATTGGAAATTTTAGATATCCAGGTATTACGAGGGCCTCATGCACTTTATAGAAGCTAACTAAACGAATAAAAATTAACAGACGTTACTAAGAGTATAATGGAAAAAGCGAGTTTTAATAAAAACTTTTGTCTAGAATCGACAACGCGGCAAAGGTAACTCTGGTGCTTCATGAGTCAAGCTCGTGATAAGTTTTTAATACTTTTCTGTAGAGTTTTACTACATGAAATCTAATTTAGATGTAGAATAAAAAATTTAAGTCTGTAAATATGTTTATTTTTAAACATCCATTATTTGAAAACAAATTCATTAGTTTATGTCCGTTATTTATTGTCTGTCCGTCCGAGGTCCGTGAATTTGGAAAAGGAATATATTAATTTTTTTACCAAAACAAAATTCAATCTAGAAACTAATACATTTTTTAACTTAGATGACGAAAGCCGGGGCCAAATCCCAGAGCTCCAACGGTATCGATGCCACTAAAAGCAAATTAATAATAAACTTGTCAATCAACAGCGTCATCGCACTGTGACCTATTAAACGTTTTGTAATTATGATTTTTCGAATAATTAAAATGTCTTCGGCTGAAAAATGATGATCAGAATAATACGTAGTTCTTTTTATATATCTTGCACAGCGTTGCATATTACTTATATTTATCTATCGTTAAATTCAGGTTTATTTTTTTGAACAACTAATCCATTATACAGACAGTTTGTAGAGGTTCTCGAGAAATATTAAACGTAGTATAGACAAAACTCATAACTAGTTCAAAATATTAAAAAAAATATATAAACTCTACTCATTAGTATTTAGAATCAAAATATTTTATTCGTATTTAATTTTTAGGTGTTATGTTAACCTTAAGCAATAGTATTACCGTAGTCACAAATTACTATTGATACCAAAAAGTGACTTAGCTACGGAATATGATATTTGGTTACATACTTCTTGTTTTAAAATACCTACATACATATATTTTTAGTAACTCAATATCGTTACGGAGTCACGACACACTTGCTTTTTGAAAATAGAAGTATACAAATCTTCTTTATTGTTCCATCCCTACAATATACTCGTATACATAGCAATCGTCACACAATTGGGCAAAATTGTTTTATATATAAACTTACTCAATTTACTTTCGCAATATGCGTACATCAACCATATTTTTCTCCAAATCTAACCAAAACAAGAAACAAAGAAGACTAAGATGAAACAGGCGAACGCCTCTCAAACAATTCCAGTTCGGAAGCGCACTTTCGCGCGACCAAATAATTTTCTATTTCCACATCGAAAGAATAAAATAGAAAATATTTTATTAGATCTCAGTCGACTACTCGTTGTCGTCGCTGCGGATTTTGCATCGTTAAGTGAACTACGTTTTGTGACGGATTAAGAATACAGAGTGTCACCACCAAAGAAAAGATGCTTCGGGGATCACCTGTGTCTGATCCGCAAAGAGCCCACGCCTGAATGTCACTACTACGATGGCCGGGCCATGGACACATCGCTCTACACGCTGGCAGAATGCTCGGAGTCGGATGAGCAGAGGCGTGACCTCGTGGTGGCCATCGGAGTGAGAGTTATCTCGCTTGGTACCATGATTACGGCCATATTACGGAACGAGAACGCCTAGAACTCCGCGGTCTACTTCCGTGAGCAAGTTATTCCGTGAGCCGAAGAAGACGGCGGAGCAGGACCGGGAGAGATTTGCGCCTGGGTGTGACAGGTAAGGCTATCTGTCACCCTAGCAGAAGCAGGCCGGGTTGACGGTGCGACACACTGTGAAGCGCGCGCGCTCTTTAGATTGCAGAACGGGAACACCGTGGTTCCCACGAGGGGGTCATCTACAAGCCGTAGGTGGTCCGGGGTCCGTCGAGATACCAGGGATTTCCTTCCTAGGGTACACCTGGTTCCCCAGCTACTGGTACCCTAGACGGTAGTGAGGCTTTTGGTCTCCGAGGGCGTTGCGGCACAGAAAAAAAAAAGAGGGACGCACGAGTAGACGGGTTACCTGATGGTAAGAGGCACAAGTGCGTTGCCACCATTGAGTTGTCCCCCACAGAATGACCCCCCACATATATCGTGGGACAATACACATCGCTATCTAGGTCCAAACTAAACAGAACGACGACCACGGATACATATATATAACTAAGATTCATTTATTTTTATAAGTACATACTATATTATACATAAAAAAACACTCAAACCATTTATATGAGAGTTCACATTTAATGTGTCATATATACCGAGACGGTACTGCGTACATACTGCGGCTCGGTATGTCGCATATGCTTAGTGTTGCCCAAAATTAAGCATGAAACTGGTTTTGGTTTTACGCTCCCAGCTTAGTATTTATTAGGTATTTATTTAATAAATATTACGTCCTCACAAAATATTTTGTAAGGACAGGTCAGGATAGATGGGCCTTTATATTCTTGTATGTAATGGAACGATATAAGAAAATTTATTGAAATAAAAGAACAACACAAATTAGAATATCTATGCAGTACCTGGATATATGGTTAATTTTCTATTAATTGTTTAAACCTATAAGAAAATCCCTTTAAAAAAAGTTGAAACGACTTAAAACAATACTAATAAAAAGGGCACTAAAAACCTAGCAGCAATCGCGGTTTATTTGCTATCATTTTTTGAGGTGTTCCGTTGTTCCGACACTTATCATCAGATCAATTGAACAAAAAAAGGATTTTGAAAGTCCGTCTATAAATGACGGCGTTATGTCCGAACATACATAAAATAATATAAATATTCGAATTGATAATCTCCTACTTTTTGAAGTCGGTAAAAAACCATAACATGCAACTATTTAACTTACTCAATACTTAACCTTTTTCTACTTGTGTGTTTTCTAATTACTAACGATGGCTTAGAAAATAATCTCTCAGCAGGAGCTAGAAGTGGAGGGTACTGAAAATTACTACCTGTTTTGATTAAAAGTCCTGCGTTCTGTACCTATTTCACAATAATAATAGAAACACTCCCTTTTTATTAGATACTGTCGCATACACTTTATATGTTATAACCGATAACACTTTATCC